TTTTTTTTTTTTTTTTCTTAATGGTGTTTTGGAGACAGGGTCTTTCTGTAGCCCCAGCTGACCTGGAACTCAGGATGTAGACCAGGCTGTCTGCAAACTCACAGAGATGAGCTTGCCTCTGCCTCTCGAGTGCTGGGATAAAGACATGCGCCACCAGTCTCAGCCTGCTTTTAATTCTTAATGAATGCGACATTTCTTAACTCATTGTTTCTTTTCAAAAATTCTTGTACAAGCTCAGCTTTTTGTTGACTTTGGACTTTGACCACAGTCTGTGTGTGTCTGGGCCTGGGTGTGTCTGTGTCTTTGGCGGTTGCCTCAAGATTTTCCTCTGTGGTTCTCTGACTCCTACCCCAGCATGGTGCTGGATGAAGGGTAGGTGGCTACTTGGACATTCCCAGCTTTACCCTGCCCTGTGGTCCCTTTCTCCTGAGCTTCTGGACCTGACCTCTTGAAACTGCTCCTCAGATGACCCTGTGAGCTGCTGGGGGCAAATATCTGTCCATTTTAACTAAGAAAATCCTTCAGTATTTCATTAGTAAATAATTAGAAGTATTAAACAAATATTTCATAAGCAATTGATGGATTAAAAGCTGCTTTTGGCAAGAGAGGAGGAGGTGGAGGGCGACAGAGGCCTAGAGGACAGAGAAATACGACAGGTAAATTTTGAAGACGTTTGTAAAACTGGCACCTTTTACTTCTGTTATGAACAGTGAAAATTAAGGTTTTACCTTGAAAACACAAAATTTATTTTCTTCTTTTTCCTCGCAGTGCTGAGATTTGAGGGCTTTGTGCTAGCAAGCCTGATTATTGCTGAGCCACACTCAAGCCCTTTTTCAAGGTTCTTAAAGACGCTGTAGGAAGAATTCAAAATTTGGCTACAGGACAAGAAGTGTTTTTCACTGTGAAACTTCTTTCTGATGCTCATTTTCTGTTACTGTAAAATGATTGAATTTCTTATGTATGTGTTCTTTTGGGAAATTAAATACATACTGAAACTTTGTAAGATATTTTTATTCTAATTTACCATTACACTTGTTAATCCTAAGCTCCACTGAAGGGAATTTAATGACTGGTGCACTGCTGTTCAATAGGTCCCTTCATTTTTACGAAAAGAAAAAAGTTAAGTAAAAAATAGCTATGCGTTTCCTCTGCAGCAAAATGCAGGCTTAAAAAACAGGAAGCTAGGCCTCCCATCTGGAGATGGAGAAGAATGAAGTCAAGGTGTTTTCCAGCTTCTGGGGTGGTGGTGTAATAAACCTGGGTAGTGGGCTTTGCCTTGCCGTTGGTCACTAAAGTACTCTCTGCCTCCGTATTCACATGGGGCTCCTGCTTGTTGAGTTTTGGGTGCTGGGGATTGAATCCAGACCTTCCAGCATGCTAGGCAATGTACTCTGCCACTGAGCTACACCTCTAGCTCTGTCCTCTTCCCAAAGATAATAGACAGACATAGTTAAAGCAGTGACACTTTCCAAGTAAGATCATGCTTTAAAGTTGAAGTAGTTAAAACTTTGATAAATGTATCTTGGGAACAGTTCAGTCCGCAACAGATTCCAGGATTGTCTAAAGTATGAATTCTAAGGCATAAAGTAACACTTCCTTACAGTACTTAACCTTAGCTATTTAGCTTCATCTTGAATCTTTAAGTTTATTAAAATCTAAGTGATGGATAGCCCAAGTAATTGGAGTTTCTACATGTTTCTCTCTCTCTCTCTCTCTCTTGCTCTCTTTTTTTTTTTTTTTTTTTTTTTGTCTTTTTGGGACAGGGTCTCCCTGTAGCCCTGGAACTCACTGTGTAGACCAGGCTGGCCTCGAACTCACAGAGATCCACCTGCCTCTTCCTCCCAAATGTTGGGATTAAAGGTGTATGTCACCATGCTCAGCTATGTGTCTTAAAAGTTTACTGTGCTTTTGCATGCTGCCCAGGGAGGGGTCCATACAGTGTTCTTGATTCCCATTGTAACTTAAAGGGAAACTAACACAACATCCAGAGCCCTTGATGTCCTGCAAATGAAGGAAGAGGTTGTCCTTAAATTCCTTGCAGCAGGAACCCACTTGGGTGGCCCCAACCTTGACTTGGAGATGGAACAGTACAAGAGGAAAAGTGACGGTATCCACGTCATGAACCTGAAGAGGACTTGGGGAAAGCTGCTGCTGGCAGCTCCTGCCATTGCTGCCATTGAAAACTGCTGATGTCAGTGTCATCTCCCAGAACACTGGCCAGCGAGCTGTGCTGAAGTTTGCTGCTGCCACTGGAGCCACTCCGTTGTAGGCCACTTCGCTCCTGGGACCTTCACTAACTGGATTCAAGCAGTCTTCAGGGAGCCACATCTTCTGATGGTGACCAACCCCAGAGCTGACCACCAGCCCTGTCTACCATCGCTCTGTGTAACACAGATTCTCCTCTGCACTATTAGACATCGCCATTCCATGCGACACTAAGGGAGCTCACTCAGTGGGTTTGATGTGGTGGATGCTGGCCCAGGAAGTTCTGCGCATGCGTGGAACCATCTCCCGTGAGCACCCATGGGAGGTCATGCCTGATCTCTACTTTGGCAGAGACCCTGAGGAGATTGAGAAGGAAGAGCAAGCCGCTGCTGAAAAGGCTGTGACCAAGGAGGAATTTCAGAGTGAATGGACCGCAACAGCTCCTGAGTTCACCGCAGCTCAGCCAGAGGTGGCAGACTGGTCTGAAGGCGTGCAAGTGCCTTCTGTACCTATCCAGCAGTTCCCTGCTGAAGACTGGCGTACCCAGCTGGCCACTGAGGACTGGTCTGCAGCCTCCACTGATTGGGTTAGAACAACCCCCAAGCATTCATGAACTGTGCTGAAGACACTTGAGCAGGATGGAAAGAATACAGTGTTTCTAAAAACAAAAATTTTTTTAAAAAAAGGTTTACTGTAAGCCATGTTAAAATTTCCAAAATGTTTTCCATACTTTTTTTTAAATCTCTATGGAATATTTTCATGATAGGTCTTTCATCGCTTGTTATGTATGGATTTTTCTAATAATAAAAGTTATCTGGAATTAAGTTTAGTGAATATATTACCCAGCTGGTTAATCTATTGCCTCTGGTCAAAATGACCGTAGCTGGCCATGGCAGCTCACTACTATAGTTTTAGCACTGGGAGGCTGAGGCAAGAAGGTCTGTTGTGACGCCTTGTCTCAAGAACATCCCAAAGCTGTAGTTAGAAAGTGAGTGAACTTTCCTCTGTGGTTAGGAATTGATTTTGAGCACAGTTGAAGAGTAAGTTATTTTGAAAGTTTGCCCTTACTTCATAGATAGAACTATATGATTAGAACAAAATAATTGAGTGAACTTTCCTCTGTGGTTAGGAATTGATTTTGAGCACAGTTGAAGAATAAGTTATTTTGAAAGTTTGCCCTTACTTCATAGATAGAACAAAATAATCCTATTTAAAAATATATGTGGTGCCGTAGCATAATTTCCTTCTCCATGAGTCTTTCTAAAACTGGGCCTTCCTCAGTAGCAGGAATGTTTCTGGAACCAACCAGTCATGGCCAAGGGTGAATTACACAGCTCTTCAGTATTATATCATTCATTTTATGGGCTTCGGTTGGTAGTTTGAATTCCTGGGAAGTGATTCCCTTATTGGAATCACTGTAACTTGTGATGCTGTTGTATGTCTGCTCCACTTTGCAGTGATCTGAAGGGAGACATCACCATCTCAGTCTCCGTGAATGTGTTTATATGTCACAAGACTTAGGGGTATTTATTTGTAGTTGCCTTTGAAAAAAATAGAAATCAATTATTAAAACATTTACAAGTCAGAAATTGAAACTGATATAAGTTTACTTGTTATACGTAAGTGAATTATACTTTCATATTTGACAATACCAGGAAAACTTGAAGAAAGTTGCAGGGGAATTTTTAAATTAATTCGTTCTTTGAAAATATCCTTTATTGTCTAAAAGGATGATAACTTGGAATTTGTTTCTTCAGACAGCTCTTTTTTGAGACAGGGTCTCCCTGTAGCCCCAGCTGGCCTTGAACTCAACATGTAGAATAGGCTGGCCTTGAATCCGCAGAGATCCTCCTGCCTTTGTCTCCTGAGTGCTGGGACTAAAGGCATGTGCCTGAATTAAGATAATTGTCATTAGCCATCTGCCTGTTGGAAATGAGATCATTCAAAGGCATTGTCTTTCACTTAGGGGCCTCTGTTTGGTGCTGGGCAGAAAATTGCTCTGTTTTTTGTTAAATAATGCAACTTCATTTGCTTAGGTGGCATAGTCTTCTTCTTAACTTTAATGCCTCTCCTGTTTGGTAGAAGATGTATTAAGGTATTTTATGAAACAGTGATATACACATAGGAGGAAAGTGGTTCTGTGGGGTGGGCACAGAAAAGACATTTTCGTTCAGGGAGTGAAAAGGAGCGGAGTGAACATTCAGCGTTTTGTCCTCGGAAGTTGCCTATGTCAGGAAGCCTTAGGGTAAAATGGGCATTCATGGCATTGCACTGCAGTTCCTGCTGTGGAGGGGGAGGAGAAAGTGGGGGAGATTTCCCTATGTTCATTACTTTGTTATTTAGAATATCTTGAAAATTTATCACCAAGAAGACTTTTCTCTCCTTGTTGTAGAAGTCCAGCAGTGAGACCAGTCAGAGTGAGACCAGTCTCTCCTTGTCAGAACCAAAGAGCAAAAGCAGTCTGCACTCATTGGCCCATGAAACAAAAATTGGCTCTTTCTTAAGCAGCACCACTTTAGATGCCAAAGACAGAGCTGGTCTTTGTCCAGATGAAGATGATATGGACGGAGATTCTTTCTTTGATGATCCTATTCCTAAATCAGAAAAAACTCATGGTTGGTGAGTAGACTGTTTTGGGGATTATCTGATGAGTGCTTTAAAAATATAATTTCTAAGTTTTTTATTTTGTATTTTAAAAATATAAAAAACCTATAAAAATAAAACAAGAATAATGACCTATTAATTATGCTGTATAATTATTGAATCCATAAGTCTGTTTTTGTGTCAGTAAAGCCTAGTGTGTTATAAAATAATGCTGAGATTTTTAAGGATGCCAGGTTTGTCCCGTTTCACCAGGTTATTCCATCAGACACCTACCATGTGACAGAGCTATATGAAGGACAGCATGCTGGATAGCTTTAGTTTTAACTTGACATACCTGGGTAGAGGGAGCCTTAATTGGGGACTTGCTTCCATTGGACTGGCCTATGGCCATTTCTATGTGGCATTTTCTTGATTGTTGAGTGATATGGGAGGACCCAGTCCACTGTGGGTGGAGCCATCCCTGGGCCTATGCTGTATAAGAAAGCAGGGCCAGTGGAGCAAGCCAGTAAGCAGCATTCTTCCATGGCCTGTGCTTCAGCTCCTGACTCCAGGTTCCTGGCCTGAGTTCCTACCTTGGGCTCCTTCAGTGATAAACTGACCCAGGAGATGAGAGACAAATAAACCCTTTCCTCCATCAGTCAGAGTGTTTTGTTACAGAAATTGAAGGCAAACTAGGAAGACAGGTTGCAGCAATGACAGACCTCCTGCATGGGGAAGCTTACCCTTGAGGTGAAATCCCAGCATGCTGGTATAAGAGATCAAGGGACAATTCCTGGAGTGCTGTCCAGGGTGCCCAGGGGAGTTGTCCATGTCAGCAGGATGGAGAGCACAGCCCTCTGGAGGACTAAACATCTCCTCAAGGGTAGAGAGGACTGTGGCCTGCTAAGCAGTACGTTACTTTGAGGGATGGTGCTTATCTGTTATGACTCCTGTGCTGTTGTGCCTGTTTCTGGGAGTTGAACAAGGGTGTTGAAGGTCAGCTCAGTCTGAAAGATCATGCCAGGTGGAGTGGCGCACGCCTTTAGTCCCAGCACTTGGGAGGCAGAAGCAGGTGGAGCTCTGAGTTCAAGGCCAGCCTGGTCTATATAGTGAGTTCCAGGCCAACTGGGTCTACAGGGAGACCCTGTTTCAAAAAGATTAAAAAAAAAAAAAACAGAAAAACAAATAGTTCTAAAGAGAGGTCACCTGATGCTACACTGACAAGCTTACTGCTTGGATTTGTGACTGAGCTGCAGTCTACCTTGCCTTGTAGGTATGCTTCGTGATTGTCAACCTCTGAAGTTTATCTTCACTTCTACCCACTGTATGCATCTTAAAATATTTTTTCTATAGTTATAAAATAAAAGACATTAATGACAAGGTCTGAAGTTAAAATAAAAGACATTAATGACAAGGTCTGAAGTTAATCGTTTAACTGTCAATTGCTTCCTGTTAGGAGGAGTGAACCTAGGAAGCAAGTGGGAGGCCTGGCCTCACTCTCTGACATTCCACCCTTGAGGAGTGGACTCAGCTCCCTGGCAGGAGCCCCTTCATTAATAGACTCTGAGAGTAAGTGTTCGAATACTCCAGGTATGTTTTTTGCCCAGTTAAGTGTGGTACATGATTACTATGGGTTATTTTTTAGGAAAATCCTAAAAACAGACCTTAATTTTAATCACTTGGACAATATTTTGCTATTCTTTTCATTTTAAAAAAAAATTAAAAAATTATTTTTATTCTATGTGTATGAGTATATTGCCTGCATGTGTGTAAGTGCACTTGTGTTCTGAAGTGCCCACAGAGGTCAGAAGAGGGTGTTTGATCCTCTGGAACTAGAGTTATAGATGGTTGTTAGCTGCCAGGTGGGTGCTGGGAGTCAAACCTGGGTCCTCTGCAAGAGCAGTCAGTGCTCCTAGCCGCTGAGCCGTCTCTCCAGCCCCCAATTTCTTTTTTAATGTAGTTGGTATTCTAGGCAATCTTGTCGCCCTTTGCTATCAGAATATTTTTAGGAAGTTGACTTTTTAACTGTTTAGACTATCTGCAGGTGTACATATAGTACCCAGCTTAGGCCTTGACTTATTACATATTTTTGAGTTTATCCAAACTCAATAGAAGCTATACTTCCAATTTTAGACTCCATCTTTTCCCTGACTTTAATATGCATGCCCTCCATAGTCCATCTAGATGCTGACCAGCAGCAGTGACTACAGTTCCTGTTGGTCACATGATCAGTAGGGAAGGCATGACACTCTGTAGAGGACTCTGTTGCTGAGCTGTGATTTCAGTGGATTAGGCATCGATAGTGCAGTTTTGGTTTCTAATATTTTTCACTTACGGTGTATTAGATACAATCCCATTGCAAGACTAGGAGCATTTGTAATTTTTAAGTTATGACTCATGGACATTTAGAATGACTTGAGTTGGGCTTTAGTTGCTTTTTTAAAACAAGTTCTTTGATGCCTGAGTAATCAGAAGAATGTTCAGTACATTCTACCTTCAGGGTCTTGCATCTGATGTGTCTTTATATGTCATAGAGTGTTGCCGAGGCCCTGAAAGGGCCTATGTGGACTCAACATAGCATGGTCAGTTTAGGTGTTCAGAGCATAGCATATCTCTCTGGAGAGTTCCCTGAAGTAGAGCCACTTGGAGTTTATAGTATGGGTTTTGTGTATGTTTTTATTTTGGTTTTTGTTTGTTTGTTTTGAGACAGGGTCTCCCTCTAGCCCCCCACTGGCCTGGAACTCAAAGTTCTCTGTAGTCCAGGCTGGCCTTGATTTCACAGAGATTGGCTTGTCTCCAATCCCCCAAGTGCTGGGATTAAAGGCGTGCGCCACCACCCCTGGCTGTATACATCTTTATTTTGATAGTTGTGTTATAGTAAAGAGTAGTAAAATCTGACTTCTTTCCATGTCACACTAATCCTTCGCCTTTTTAAAGAATGTTGTTTGTGATTAAAAAACACCCAAGGAAAGGCAGTGCATGTCCCTAGTCTCCGACAATTACTTTTTACCATTTTTTCCTTAGTTTCAGGGCATTATGCTCCTTGGGGTATAGAAGCCCAACTGAAAAAAATAGCTTAGAGAATGTCATATTTTTATTTTAATATTTTATTATTTTTATTTTATGTGTATGTGTGTATTGCCTACATGTAAGTAAGTTCACCTGTGACGTGTAATGCCTGCAGAGGACAGAAGAGGCTGTCGGTTCCCCTGGAACTGGAGTTATGGACAGTTATTAGCTGCCATGTGGGTGCTGGGATTCGAACTCAGGTCTTCTGTAAGAACAGCTAGTGTTCTTAACCGCTAGCCCGAGAATGTCATATTTTTAAAACTCCTTTAGTACTAACACTTTTTCTTTCTGTTCATAGGTAAAAGGGGAAGCACAGTTTTGAAAGATCTGAAACTGGTCAGTGATAAAATTGGATCACTTGGATTAGGTAACTAGATTTCCAATTTTAGTGTTGATTATTTTTAAAATAATTATCTTTTAGAGTAAAGTCTGCAATTGAGAGCCTTCCTGCTGACCAGTCAACAGGTATTGGGTACTTCACATGTGTCCAGAGTTCCATCCTGTGCTGGAGATGGTGATAGCAGCACCCTGGACAGACCCCCATCTTATAGTGTTCACAGTGTAGTAGGGTAATGCTCTGGCCTGGGCTTTCAGGGAATGCTTCTGGGAGAGACTGGGGACCAGACCTGATGGTCAGGGTGAGGGAAGGATAACGGAGAACGGAAGAGGTTTCCGTTCAGAGAGGGGTGTTGGTATAGAGGCAGAGCTGCTCTTTGGGTCCTGGGAGTATGTAATCCAGACCATAAGAATCCAGTCTAAAGCATATGTGGGGTCACAGACTTGGGAAAGACAGTTGTGGGGTATTGTCTGATTTGGAGCAGATGTTGGCAGGCTTGCCACGGACATAAACTGATTGCCATGGAAGTAAGAGACGTAGCGTGTACATAACTTGACTGGGCTGCACACCAAGAACAGGATTCTAAGCCAGTATTCTTTTCTATGCACACTGCAGGCAGGTGGTTCTAACGAGCAAACCCGGCCCTCTCACTAACCTGAAAAAAGTGACCTGGGCGCTCTTAGCCATTTCCCATCCTCCCTGTGGATATGATGTGATGCTCAGTTGTCCTGGTCTGCAAGCACTCACTTCTGAAGGTGCCAGAGCACAGCTTCCTAGGCAGGCTGGGGAAGAAGCACAATGTGCCCTGTACTCTTTGTGTTCTAACTGTGGGCAATACAGAGACCATCCTTCCCTTTTCTGGCGAAACACCCTTGATAGTTGGTGCACAGGACTTGAGTGAAAGTTCCTGGCTGTGGCCCTGATTGGCGGCTAAACTGAGCTGCTCTTTCTCATCTGTTAAATGGAACCAATAACATCTACTTCACTTTGAGAACTAAATAGGATTTAAATATGTCTCCATACATAAAGAAAAACAGAGTGCCTGGCACAGGGGTGCCTGAAATGCCAGTTTTCCTTTTGTGTTACTCCGTTCCCCATTTGCAGAAGAGAAGGTGTTCCCTGAGCTGCCTGGGTTCTTGTTCCACCAGTGCCCTTGAGTCCTGGTAACTGCTGAGCTGCTGGTGGTGCTGGCTGGCCAGCTAGGTGGGCCTGCTCTCCACTTTCCCCCACTTCTCCCCACTAGGTGGGTCGCACCTGCAGGGATGTTCTGTACCCTTGTACCGCAATGCGTGTTTGCCGCCTTCCTGATCACGACACCTCTAGTGCTGCTGTGTCCTATTTGTTCTGGGTTTTGTTTCACTCTGGTAGCTCACCTGATGCCAAACCTTTGCCTTTCCACTACTCACAAAAGAGTGAGTAGTGGAAAGAGTGAGTGATGACTCTCTTGTCAGAGTCTGGATTCCCTAGTCAGCTGCTTGGGGAGAGTGAAAAAGTGGTTAGCAACTGCCTCACATCGTCCAGTGTTGGCACTCGGGCACGTCTTAAGGTGGAATTTGGGTAGTTGTACAGGTTAAGCATATGACTTTACCAGCTAGATTCAGTGGAACTAAACAGTTATTTAATGGTGTTGCAGCCCTGTCATTTGACATTTGAGCTCCTCTTCTATTGTAAATGTACATAGCAAGATTGTGACCTTGTAAGTAATGCATAGGTGGATTCATGCACGATGGTAATGGTGTCGGTGGTGTGTGCCTGCCACCGTAGGAAGAAATTGCATTTGTTATCCTGAGCAGCAGCCTTTGTTCCATCCATCTTCCAGATGAAGAAGGTAGGTCACATGGTGTGCCTGAGGCCCCTCTGGCTTCTAGAGTCTTGATGTAGCACAGAGTCACCTGTAGACATTAAATATCATTTCAGTGGAAAGTAAGTTCCGGATTTTCTAGAGATAGTTTACAAATAAAGGTTTAGAACATAACCTATTTTAGTTTGACAGGTACTAAAAGCACGCAGATGAGCTGGATATGTTGGTGCACACCTTTCTTTATCTCAGCACCTGGGAGGCAGAGGCAGACAGATCTCTGAGTTTGAGGCCAGCCTGGTCTTCATAAAGCATTCCAGGCCAGCCAGAGGTACATAGTAAGACCTTGTCTCAAAAAATAAAAGTATACAAATGGAATGCTTATAGACAGGCACTTCGCCTGTTTAAAGTAAGAGTTGCTAAACTATAAAGAACCAAATATTGAGTCTGTTTCATATTTTATCTCTTTTTTAAAATATTCGTTTAAAAATGTAAAAGCCATTCTTCCTTAGCTCATTGGCCAATACTGGTCAAAAGCAAGAATTGGAAAGTAAAGAAAACAGAAAACTGTTGTAGAACTCCATGGCAGAAGTGATGGGATAAGGTCTTGGATTGAGGCAGGTGTCGTGTAGGTAAGGTGGTGGGACTCGGGTGGGGTGGGGAAGGAGTGTCAGAAAATGAAGAAAATAGAACCCACTGGCCTCAGCAAAGTCCGCCAACCCCTAGTTTAAAGTAGGGCATGTTCTGTTAGAGACGGTCAGCAGTGTGGCACACGAACTAGGAGTGCAGAGTCCCTGGTGCTGTCCACATTGTTCAGTAAATGTTGTGAGTTTTGAATTGGCTCCTATAACGCCAAATTCTCTTCTGGGAGGCCTGCACTGTGCCCGCTCTCAGCTCCCAGGCCCCACGCCGTCCTTAGGACTTAACTGACAAATTGACACGATGTCCCTCTAAGCTACAGTTTAGGGAATCAAGATGTTTGGGCTTGCCAGCAAAGCTTACGATATCCGGAAGGGGATCACTTACAAATGCACGGATGCCCGTGGGCTTTTTTCCTTACATGTCAGCTGAGCTTCCCAGATCTGAGGCCGCTGGTGCCCCAGCCAAAATGGTAAACTTCCCAACCCCTCCCTGGCATCCTCCATGCCGGTCCTTGGACCCCCCTCCCCATGCAGTTGAAGTTGACTGATTGGGTGGGAGGGGTGACTGTCTTTATTTCTACGGAGTTGCTAGTTCTTTCGGAGGACACGTTCCAACAGCTCCAAATGAATGAAAGCAGAGACTTCAGTTGACTCTCCCACACCCAAACTGCAGCCCGACTGCCCTGTTCCCTCTTCTGTTCCTTCTGGTGGTGTTGGTGCTCACACTGGGCACGCAGTGACGATGGTCTTTGGGGACTCTAGTGCTTTATTGGCTGCCGCTGCTGTTTGTAGATCGACACTTGCAGACCAGCCACCGCTGTGGTTTGTAGTCAGAACATTTCCTTCCTCCCCCGTCTTCCCATGTGAGCCTGGCACTGCCTGCTTTCTGCTAAGCACTTGCAACTCCTTGACATCTGTGTCTCGTAGAGATGGCCTCCTTCTTCCAGAGAGGAGTAACCTGGAGGCTTGTGTGCATGGAGCCCTTCTCAGGGACTCCCAGTTCCTAGCTACAGCAGCAGCAGTAGGACGCCGGAAGCCCTCACCCCCGTCATCTCCGGCTCTGCTGCACACGTGACTTTACTTGTGCTCTTGCTTCCCCTACGAGGTTCTTCTCAGTAGTCCTGTCTGTGAGGAAAGCCAGCGGTAGTGCTTTTCTGTTCTCCTTGCTGCTGCCACCTCCATTAACTTCCTTCGGCATTTAGGCTGGAAGCGGGTCATGGCCTGCTAGGCCTGGAATGTTCTGTCCATGCAGCTCTCTGCTCGTGGTTGTCCTCTGGTTAGAGGAGCTACCTTGCTGGTGGTATTTCAAACACCACACCTTCACAGTCTCAGGACTTTCGCACACATTCCTTCGAGAATGCTCCCAGAATTCACACCTCTCCTGCCTTCTTTACTTGAGCTTAGGTCCTGCCTTGGTGTTCTTTCCGCCTGCTGTGGTACCATTGGGTTTGTTGTTGGAGCTGGTGCCTCCTAGTGTTGGCTGCTGCACCTGTGGGAGAGCTGAGTTATGCCCATGGTTGATAAATGAATAATCGAATATTGTGAGAGAGCCGCCTTGCCTGTGCAGATCCTGGATCCCCTCGAGTCTGGTTGGTCTTTGGAGGCTCGTGCTTGGAAGACCCAGGACAGCACAGGCCACAGCTTTGTGTGGCCGGTTCCTGCTGCACTGCACCTTCCCCTGGCCCATATCGCATTCCTGTGCACTTGCAGTGGTCATTCTTTCACATGTCAGTGGTTGTAGAAGACATGGGGGGGGAGTACAGCTCATTTGCAGAGCTGTCTTTGAGAACTGTAGGTAAGTCTTGAAAGGCTCCCCTCAGAACCCTGTGTGTGTGTGGAGACACTGGTGCAGCTCTACCTCATGTGATCACTTTGCGTTTGGCGCTTACTGTGGATAAAAAACTCCAAATGAGGCACTTTGTGGTATAGGTTTGCTGTACTTGGACATGCCCTGAAAGGGCAGCAGAGGCCCCTGTTGAGTGGTTACTTGCCTTGCTCTGTTGCCTCATCCCACATTGTAGTTGTTTTTAAATTTTTAAACAAGCTACTGAGTTGAAAAGTCACGGCAGGTGGAAACAGGGTAACTAGAAGGGTTGGTGGGGACTCCCCGTTGCTGCGTTCCTTTGATCCCTTCACACACACTTTTGTGGTGATGGGATGGAGCCCACAGCCTTGAACATGCTGGGCATGTATGCCCCCAGCTGTGTTCCATGAGGTCACAGGGCAGCGTCATGGTGCATAGCCCTTTGATGAGCCACCTTTCCACAGCCTAAAGCACAGACAAGGCGTTCACAGGGTAGCACACAGTGCAAGAACGTGAAACAGCTTCTATTTGCCTTCACTATAGGGGAAACGTGCTTTTTCTGATCTTAGGTACTTCTCCTCTCATGAAGTAACATCATTGGTAATAAATTGTTTTGGCAGGAAACATGTTCGTTTTAAATGGTTCATAATTTTAAGCCAGGCGTGGTGGTGCATGGCTTTAATCCCAGCACTCAGGAGGCAGAGGCAGGTGGATCTCTGTGAGTTCGAGACCAACCTGCTCTACATAGTAAGTTCCAGGCCAGCTGGGCCTACAGGGAGACCCTGTCTCAAAAATTCAAAAAAATTTTTCGGTACATGTGTAATAACATTTTTTTTCTTAAAACGATTACAGGAACCGGAAAAGATGAAGACTACGTTGATGATTTTAATAGGTAAGAAAAGCCGTGAGGTGAATGTGTGCATTTATATTTGTAAATAATTTCTGAGTACAGATAAGTGTCACAAAATTGCATCAGGGCTTAGGGCTTACTTCATTGTGTTGGAGTCTTTCATGTTGATTGAAAGTGCAAGATAAGTAATCCAAACTTTGCTGTTTTAGAGCACCTTCATCATACGTTACAATGCCAACATGCAGGACTGGAGAGAGAGCTCAGCGGTAAAGGGCACTGACTCAGCTCTTGCAGAAGACCAGGGTTCAATTCCCAGCACCCACATGGTGGCTGAGAACCATCCTTAACCCCAGTTCCAGGGGAATCCAACGCCCTCTTTTGACCTCTGTGACATTGTGTGACACAGGTGCACTGACATACATGCAGGCAATGCACTCATACACATAAAATAAAAAAAATACTTAAAAAAGAATATGGTCATGCACATCATGTTGAGGGAGTGGGAGGCATCAGCCTGTCACCTGGGAGCGACCCCTGCCTTTGTCAGTGTGGGCATTGTCTGTAGGCGACATCACACAATTGCCCTCTTCCACTGGTTTTCTGATTCACATGACAAGACTTAATATTCTGTGCAGGCAACTTCCTTACATGAAGTGCTTACTAATATGGAAGTGATATTTGTTGTGGATATGGTGAGAAAATTCAAATTACATGCCTGAGAGTTTTGACAGTTTTCTTCTGATTAGAAATTTGTGTTTATTTATTATAGTAATAAATACAGTGTTTTGGAGACAGTATTAGGTAGTAGGCAACATTTGAGAACTCAGGATTTGCTGCTTGCCATGTTCAGAGTCACCACAGAACTTCGTCTTTCTAACGTGCTGAATGAACGTGCTCACTGCTGCCTTCTGCTCTTTTTGATTCTATATATGTATTAGTGTTGGTGTTGCTGCATGCTCCTTAAAGGGTTAAAGTGGACCCGAACACCGGCAGTCTTTCTTCAGAGTCCCTCTCTGTCTTCTCTTAAAATCAGTGCCAGCCATCACTCAGAGAAAAGTGAGCTGAGCATTGGCGAGGAGATCGAAGAGGACCTTTCCATGGGAGCAGACGATGTCAACACCAGTGACAAAGTAAGGTGCTAAGCACAGTTCTGGAGAGTGCGGGTTCTGCCCATGTGTTGATTTGCTCTGAGGCTTCATGAATGTATACTAATTAGTAGAAAAACAGTTGAAACTTGTGGACAGTCCATGACAGTTACCCACTCCCAGTCTGTGAAGATGTTTAAGAATAAGGTCGTGTTTGGTTGACACTTTGGTACTTGCCTGAGTCAGGGGCCTCTTCTCCTGTTTCGGGGGCAACGGGCTGAGGGCTAGAGTCAGAACTACCCCTGTGGACTTGCTGGTAGAGGTTTTATCCATAGAGTACCTTGGTCATCAGAAGGAAACGGACAGCAGAAAGAAACGGCCTTGGTGTGAGGGAAAGCTGGGAATCCACGCTCAGGGTCCACAGCAGAACTTTTCATATAGTAGAGACAAGAACACAGACAGCAGGCCATGCATGCTTCTGGGAGTTGTAGGTAGAAGATGACTTCTTCCTCCAGAATGAGGTGGGCTCACACAGGGCTGACTGTCACATGGGGAGAAGTCCTTCAAGAAAGGTTGTAGTGTATAGTGAAACCCCAATGCTAGAATAGCAGAAGTTTGATTATTTTGAGGTTTTTTTGTTTTTGTTTTTGTTTTGTTTTTTTTTTGTTTGTTTGTTTGTTTCATTTGTTTGTTTTTGGTCTTTTTTGAGACAGGGTCTCCCTGTAGCCTCAGCTGGCCTGGAACTCTCTATGTAGACCAGGTTGGCTTCACTCTCACAGAGATCACCTGCCTCTGCCTCCGAAGTCCTGGGATTTGATACAGCTAAAGGACTTTAGTATTTATATCCAAAGAATAAGTAACAGGTGAGCAGGTGGCGAGGAGCTTGATCTCACTGTCTTCTGTTCTATACAATGACTGGTCCAGAGCTTGCTTCTCTAAGGTTATAGGAGAGAAAATGTTTACATTCTAATGGTATACTTATAAAATTGTCTGCTGCATACTGATTCTTTTCTTTATTTTGAACAACGAAGCTTGATGACCTCACACAAGACCTGACTGTCTCCCAGCTCAGTGACATTGCAGATTATCTGGAAGATGTTGCGTAGGCACAAAAAAGGAAGTATTCTGATCTACAAAGGATCATGGGCTCCATTTCCTCAGACAATCACTCTTAACTGGAATGTCTGCTCCTACTGGTGCCTTGTAAAAAGACTGCAGATATTTTTAAAAGTGAACTTTTCATTTTAGTGAGCAAAATACTTCCTGTATGGGCCGATGTTTAGAAGATTTGTTATTCTTAATTTGGTTTGACTGTCCATTCTCTGTGGAAATTATCTGTATTGAAGTTCATCACAGAGCAGAACCCATGACAGCACCGGTGTTAAGAGCAGAAAGACATCAGTAAAGCCGTAGGTTTGCACGGCTGTGTGTGGTTGTTGGTGCACAGTGAGCTCTGAAACCTTAGCTTTAGCCATCTAGAAGCTTCCCCACTGAGTATATTTTGGTATTAGGTGGTTGGTGAAATGGCTGGTAAATTCATGATGCTAAAGCATTAACATAAGTTAAATTGGGTATATCAACTTTATTTTCTATCCCCTTCCATTAGGAAGGTCTGTTAGACCATTAAGGTTTATTATAAAGAACTCTGTGTGCTGTTAGCTTGGCTTGTTTTAAGGCAGTCCAGAAATGGTAAGGATTTTAGCTCATTGACTTGTCCATAACTGTTAGCCTTCAGGTCACTGTTCTGTTGTCTGTGAAGCAGCATTAGTCACAGGCTCTCTTCATTGTAGAGTGAAAATGTTAAATACCAAAATGCATCTGAAACCATTAAGCAGTGCTTTTATTTCAGATCTGTACGTTGATTATGTTTAAATCCAAATTGGAATGAAACAGTCGTAATGGCCTAAGACCATATCTCCATCTGACACTTGACACACTGTATGTAATGTTGTTGTTGTCCTTTAGAAGCAGAGCCAATAATCGAATTCCTGGCAGTCTTAGTTTATAGCATTGCACACTGTGTCATAGGTCACTGACATTTGTAATGCTAACGTATTCCTAAAACTGCAAATAGGAGAAACAGACCAAGGACGTATAGTCATAGAAATGTATGCAAAGCTGTGATTGTATTAAAATTTTATACTTTTTTATTGGAATTATGATTGTTAAAAGTTACTTTTATTAATGAAAAGAGAAATTAGGTACAATTCATGAATCTTAGTGAGCAGATGCTGTGGTTTGCATTAATGCCATTTTTCCATTTTATAGCTGCCTAAGTATTATAGTGATACTTAACCAGACCATAAGTGCAGAGGAAATGAGAATTTAGTGCAGATTTAAGCCATCTGACATTAGGATCTTACTTTTTAACATTTAAGTGAAACTGAGCTGTACACATTGAGAGGAGGTAGACAGAAAGGTGGCCAGGAAGCAGATTGTCTGTCCTGGGTCTGTGGCCCCAGTTTGCTGTGTCTGCATGCTTTACTCTACACACTAAGTGCTCATTGTAAACTGCATTGCCTCTGGGGTCATCTCTTGGATACTTTGTCAGAGCACTAGCATTGTGCTGGGCCTCTGGGGTCTGGATCATGTGTGATGTGTGGTCTTCATATTTTGTGGACACTACATTTGAGTCAACTGATGGGACAGAATAGCAGGGTGTGGCCCTTGGTATTTGTGGAAGGCTTTCCAACAGCTGATGTGAAATTTGCAACTTTCTATTACCCAAAGACTGACCTTCTAGTGATTGTTGGAGTATGTGGAGAAAGCCAAGCCAAAATGAAGTCATCAGCTGCAGTCACTGGATAATTCTGAATAACGAAACAGTGAACAAGAAAGAAGTCATTTCTGCGTGTCCCTTGCTTGGGTGTTATAGACCTGTTAAACTTTAAGATGTGAAATGACAGGTGTTGCGTGTGATTAATGTTTCTGTTGTTAAAATGTATTAAAACATTGACACATACAACCTGCATTATACAGTGGAATTCTTTTTTTTTTTTTTTTTTTTTTTTTTTTGGTCTTTTGTTGGAGACAGGGTCTCCCTGTAGCCCCAGCTGCCTGGAACTCACTCTGTAGACCAGGCTGGCCTCCAACTCACAGAGGATCCACCTGCCTCTGCTTCCGGAGTGCTGGGATTAAAGGCGTGTGCCACCTCGCCCAGCACAGTGGAATTTTTTTAAATGCTAATAAGCCTTTGATTTTCAGCAGTGCTGAGCTGCCATTCCCTATCGAAGAGCATTTCTCTTGTACCTTTCACGTGTTGCCTTTTGTGGCAGCAGAGGAAACAGCTCCTGGGCCCTGCTTCGCTGTGAATCCTCCTCCATCTCCCTCTTCTTGCTGAACTGGAGTCAGGCAGTACAGGCCACACAGCTTCCGCACCCACTCCTGGCTCACGCTGCTTGTGTTTGCCCGTGTGTGGAGAGTGGCTTCTCCAGAGCTGCATGAGGCTGACCATTCTCGTTGCCAGGGAAGCCTGCAGAGAAGTGCACCTCTCCACTCGTGTTTACTTTTGGGTTTTGTTCATCTTGCATTGCTGTGCAACTTCCTGGATAAACGGGAACAAATGTCAGGCTAGAGAGTGTACCCACAACAGACCCAAGAAGTGATCCCATTCAAGTCTAGCTTGGTGAACTAGCGGGTCTGTTTACAGGAACTGGGTGACTTGGCGCTACCTCTTCAAAAAGCCCACACCAGCCCACATGGCCACTCAGCCAGCAGCCCTGGAGCCTCTAACTCGGTGCAGCTCCTCCCCCAGCTACTGTGAACCTCCTAGAGCCTGGGGAGGGGACACGTATGTCGTGTAGCTTTCCGAGCATCTGGAGTCTTAACAACTTTCCTTAGCTTCCGGGTGTATGATCCTATGGGGGGTGTCTGAGTTTGGAGGAAGCAGCTGTACCCCACTCTTATTCTGGGCTGTCTTGCTTACCTGGTTATATCCTTGGTTATTAAATAAGTTTGTAAGCTCCATGAGGGCAGAGACTTTTAAAAAATCACTCTATCCCTGTAACAGCATGTGGCCCCCTACTGTGTACCCTGTAATCAGTGTGTAAAGGGGCTTTTGCGCACTGTAGAGGAACGGGTGTGTTAGTGGCCGGGCAGCTGCCTTGTACAGTGTCAAGGTTGAAGATGCTGTCCGTACCAGCTTTGTGTCTGCAGATCTGCCTCTGATTCAGGGAGCTGTGTCTCCTGAAGCTCCTCTGCAGCATCGTCCTCACACGGAGGTGCCCGCTGCACGAGGCCGAAGCCCCTGTTGGCACAAAGGAAAAGCTGAGCAGCTTAGGGGCCGCTGGTCCTGATGGGGGAGGGGGCAGAACAGAAGCAGCTCTCCTGGCCGGAGGTGCTTCCTGCCGACATGCTACATGCACCCCTGGCCTAGGGCAGACCGGGAAGGAATCCTTGTTTGTATGCAGGTTTCACCCCAGCCCTCCTGACAGGCCATACTGATGGGCCCCCTGTTCTTGGTGGGAAGATCAAGTACTGAGGAGATTGTAGCAGCCTAAGCTGACGACAAACCTGTCGGACTAGAGATTTGAGTAACCTCTGCCTGAAGCCTGCTGCCGTAGAAGAGGATTGCATTTCTTTTTTTGATGGGTTCTCACTGTGTTGTTTGGGCCAGTCTCAAACTTCTGGGTTCAACTGGGCCACAGCCTAAAGCGTCTGGGTCTGTGTATGCCATTGTGCCTGGCTCTCAAATGAATTTTGATTTTAAATTCTTGGGCTAACAGCTACAGTCACCTCCTTTCCCATGCTCGTCAAAGAGTGGATGGGGGAGTGTTACCGTTCCCACCCAATCGGTGGACCTTAGTTGCATGGGGGGAGGGGCTAAGGATATATCAGCCAAGAATGCCTGAAACACCTCTCACCATTTTTGTGGTTGTCCGGAAGTCACAGGATCTGTATTTGAGTGTGGGCTTGCCAGTGCAGCTGTAAATGGTGGTGCCCACTCTTTTGTAAGTAAACACCCACCCTATGCTCTGTTAGCAAGCCCAGTAAACTCGTTAGGATTTTCAAAAAAAAAAAAGAACAGAGCTAATGAAAACCTTCATTATTCCACCATGTTGGCCACATGTTGGCAAATCCTTTGGTCTTTGATTTCTTATTCTTGTTTTCCCCCCTTAAACTCTATGTTTTTTATGTAACCTGCTTCAAGTTATTTCTGGAAAACTGGGTTTAAAATTGCCTCTCTTTGGAATAAAAAATATTGTTGGGCCAAGATTCGGGACTGAAAGGTGGGATGACAAGACACTTAGTGACCTCACAGATGAACTCAAAGACTTCTCTATCTTTACAGAATGGCCAAGATGACACGAATAGTTGGGGAAATCTGTCCAGGGCCCTCCCCTGACAGCAGGTCCGCGCTGAAGTACTGACAGCAAGGCATCACTGGGTAGCAAACAGGATGTGCCTGGGTGGGGTGTCTGCATGTGTGTAAGTGCACCTGTGCTGTGCAGTGCCTGCAGAGGTCAGAAGAGGGCCTCAGATCCTCTAACGCATTATGAATGGTGGTTAGCCGCCGTGTGGGTGCTGGAAATTGAACCCAGGTCCTCTGAAAGAGCAGCCAGTGCTCTAAGCATCTCTCCAGCCCCGTTACTCTTGCATGTTCTGCATCATGCTGATGCATTTTTGAATGGGAAGGGACCCAGAGACCTAGGTAGGATGTCAGGCATGACCACCAGAGGTTGACCTGAGACAGTGGCTCCCCAAGCCTGTAAAGACAAGGACATTTGGAATATGCAAAGTGGAAGCAAAGTTTATTAAGGAGAATTACAGAAAAGTGAAACTCCCAAGAGTAGGGGACTTTCAAAGAGAAGAAAAAGCCTTTGAATTTTCTTGTCTAAGTTTTTTTATAGGGCGTGGCAGAAACTGGACAAATGCTGGGGTAATTACTATGAGCTTGGTTAGTTCCCTGGGCTATTGTGGGCCAAACCATTGGACTACCCACCTGCTCCATGCATGTCCCCCTCTCCTACCAGAGACATGATCATGTACTGTTCATGCCTGCTCCCCCACTTAGTGAGGGGTCGAAGCCCTTTCTATTCATCTCCATTAGTTGCTGACCTTGACTGACCACAAGCTGTTGGCCCTGGCCAGCAGCACCATCCATCATTGACTTTACAGACTGTTAATCAAACTCTATTCCCTTTGATCTCACATTTAAATACCAGCCTGCGGCTTTACCATGAAAGAGTTAACTCTTACCTGCACCACCAAGATGTAGCTCCAGGACTCCAGTCCTCCTTGGTTACCTCCTAATTAGTGCTCCTAGGTGGAAGTGCCTTAACACTTTGTTACTGTGAGTTACTTTAGAGGACAAGGATATGTCAAAATACAATAGTGTTTTATGTATGTTCCTCAAGGGTGTGTGTGTGGTGGGGGGGGTCAGTTGGCCTGCCTGTCACTGGTCCAGAGCTCTGTCTACCTTGGTTACCTCATGCCCAACCACAAATCCTGTTATCTTCTTCAGTGCTCTAGACTTCGCCGTTGTAACCCTTAATCTCCCTTTTAACCCCAGCCTCTGTTCCTGCAGCACATTCTCACCGTGGACCTTTCCCCTGCTACCTGTGGTTTCTAAAACAGTGGCAACTCTCTCGAGATGAAGATTGCTTGCAAGTGAATTTCCTTTTTCCCTCTTTTCCTTTTTCCCTCCCATGTGGTCCGAGGCTTTGGTCTTTCTGACTTAGGTGTTGAGTCTTGCTAGGACGATCTGTCTCTTCGTCCAGCTTGGTCCTGGACCGCACCTGCTGCTGCAGGCACTGGAGCATTGCCTGGGCTGGGTGCGTTGCCTCCCCTGCCTCTGGGACCCCACCCTCCCCATCTCTCATACACACTGGAACATTGTCAGTCTTCCCCCATTTCAAGGCTCAGGTTAGTCAGTTTTGTCTGTTACTGAGTATGCCAAATCCTAATGGCCTCTAGACAGCATCTGTGCTGCAGAGAGCCATGTCATCGAAGATGGGGCCCTCCCAGTCACCTATCTGTCCTGGTTGTGAAGGCAGCCATCAGCCTCCATTGGAAAGACCATCTGACCTCAGCTCCCTACGAGCCCTCCAGAGACTCTGGGCTCACCCAGAACCTCTTCATACTCCAACTCTCCTTAGGCCTTAACTCTACACCCTGTGCCTCAACCTTGACTTCCCAGCAAGCCCAGTCTGTGATCCTGTGTAAAATAGACTGTGAAGACAGGATGTAGGTGACTGCTGCCTGCCCCATCGTATAGGAAAACTTGGGGGGCTGGAGAAATGGCTCAGCGGTTAAGAGCACTGACTCCTTTTGCAGAGGACCCAGGTTTGTTTCTCAGCACCCATATAGCCGCTCACAACCATCCATAATTCCAGTTCCAGGGGCTCCATTGCCCTCTTCTGGCCTCCGTGGACATTGCATGACACAGGTGTACTTACATACATGTGGGCAAAATACTCATACACAAAAAATAAAAATAAATCTTAAAGGGGAAAAAAAACTTGGCTGAAAGAAGGGAAGCTGTGCATAGGGACAGGCAGGGAGGAGGCAAACCTCTAGGAGAAAGATGCTCTTGGGCTTTGTGACTCATGATTGACAGTGCCCCTTGGGTCCCATGGGATGGGCACACGTGGGATCAGCAGTGATGTGGGGAGTGGAGCCGCAGGGAGATGCGCGAACCCGAGTTCTGCAGAGGTTTGACTCCCAGTCAGCACACTGAGTGATGCTGGGCAAGTTATTCAGAATTCCCGGTTTTCCCACCTGTCAGGGAGTTTTAAAACTTACTTTCCTTCCAAGCCTGCTCTTTGTTTAGGTAGATAATTCTTGCAGAGTTCAGCATTGTTCTTGATACATAGTAGATATTCAACAGAAACCTGAAATTTGGGGCTCTTGCAGAGGACCTGGGTTCAGTTCCCAGCACCCACATGGCAGCTAACATCTGTTTGAACTCCAGTTCTAAGGGATTCAGTGCTCTCTTCTGGCCTCTAGGTATTACACATACGGTGTGCATAT